GTGCTTCTTGGCTTAATCCACTTCCTGAAGAAGTATAATAAACTTGGTAAGAACAGTCTTGGTCTTTTAAGATAAATAGTCCTCAATGGATCCCGGAAACCCGCAAAGGAAAAAGAGTATAAGTGTGCTTATTGTTTTCTTGCTCTTCAATAAAATTAAGGACTGTTTCGTCAGCAGTATTAGTTTGCATTCTTTGGTAATTGTCGTAAATGTTGGCAATATCAGTTCTTAGATGGAATTGCGGACTTAGTTTGTTTTGCTTAATTAAAGCAGCTTGAATTCCCGCATGATTACTTAAAATAAATTCTAATTTATCATCAGTTAATCAGCCGTAATCAGTAGGCAGAGGGGCAGGCGAAGGAGTAAGGGGCAAGTTAACTCATTCTCTTAAAGGTTGCGCTAATAATAAGTCAAATCCTTCCATGGCTCTTAAACTTCAAACTGCTTGTAAATACTCATAGCGAGGTTTATTTTTAGCTTGGAGAGTGCTAATGACTTGAATTATTTTGCTTTTTTGTCCTAAATTAGTAAATTGTTCAGTTCAGGCTGCTAAAAGATTAAGGGTAGAGAGGCGATATGGTTCATCAGGGTCGGATTCAAGAAAGGGCTTAGTTAGGGGTGGCGAGGGGGAAGGGGGAGAAACCAAAGGCGAGGGGACAGGAAATGAAGCAGGAGGCGAGTTAAAGGGCAGGCTACTGGATCGGGAAGGAGCAATTAATTTATTAGGAGGAGACAGAGGGCTGGATTTTGGCTCGGGCTGAAAACAATAAAACACCAAGGCCATAATTAGCAAAAGAATTAAAAGTTGAGTTTTAGTCATTTTAACTCATTAAAAAGTAAAGGGCTACTAGAGCCAGGATGGCGTAAAGTCAAAGGTAATTTTTCTTAGGTTGCTTGCTACTTAATTGGTCTTGTAAAAGAGCAATTTGAGATTGGGCAGAGGCTAATTCTTTTTGGAGAGTTTCAAAGGCGTTTCCTTCCGCTGAAGCAGCTTCTAGTTTGTTAATTCATTCGGTAAGTTTGCTTATTTCTTCTTGGGCCGCTTGGAGTTTGGCTTGAAGGTCGGTGTTACGCTCTTGAATTAGGGAATAAGCTTCTTGTTTTTTGGTTAACTCTTCAGCTTTTTGTTGGAGGGTAGCTTGATGGGAGGTGGTAGCTTGGGAGGCTTTTTCTTGCAAGTTTTTTACTTCTGCTTGGGATTCGTCCCGGACTTTTTCAGTTTGTTTTAAAGTTTCTCGTAAGTAATCAGCTGATTTTTGAAAAGTATCTTTTTGCTCATTAAGTTGAGTGATTTGCTGAGTAAGGTTAGTTTTTTCTTGTTCTCAGGTTTGCAGGGCTTGCTGTCGCTCTTGGAGCATTTTTTCTTGGAGGGTTTGCTTTTCAGTATTTAGGTTTTGGATTTGCTTTTCTAGTTGGGTGATTTTAGTATTGGCTTGAGCTTCAGCAGTAGTTTTAGCTTTTAGATCAGTTTGTAATTGATTAACCTGCTTCTGTAAATTCTCTTTTTCCTGCTTAGAAGCATTAGTTAAATTAGTGATTTCTTGGCGTAAATTGGTGATAGTTTGCTTTAATCCTTGTTCGCTAGTTTGCTTTTGAGTGCTTAAATTGGCTAAGTCTTGCTGTAATTTTTCCTTATCAGTTTGATTGATTTTTAATAAATCATCAATATGCTTTTTTAAGTTGGTAATGGTCTGGTTAAGGTTGGTTTCAGCTTGGTTCTTGGCTTGGGTTAATTGGGTGATTTCAGTTTGTTTGGTTTGAATTTGTTTTTCTTTTTGCCGGATTTGAGTTTGATAGTTGGCTTCTTTTTGCTGGTGTTCAGCAAGTTTAGTTGCTAAGGATTGGATTTTTTCTAGGAGTTCGATTTCTTTCCTTAAAGATTTAGTAGATTTTTTTCCTCCGGTTAATTGCGTTTGAAGCTCTTGTTTCTTTCTTTGGATTTTAGTGTTTAAGGGCTCGTTGGGGTCGCTGGTAGTTTCGCTTCAAGAACCTGGCATATTAGGGGTGGATTCTTGGTTTTCATATTCGGCTAATTGGTTTTTTAGATTTTGAATTTCTTGTTTTCAGGAATCCAGGAAAGTAAAAGGAGGTTGGAGATTAGGGCAGATTTCAGTCTGCAAACAAATTAAGTTAGCACAGTTTTCTATTCCTTCTAAACTGCTTAATTTTTCACATTTAACCAAACGAATACAAACCATTTTTGGGCCAAATTTAATTTTGGTAAGTTCTGAACAATCATAGATATCAAAGTATTGCAAATTAGGATTAAAGCAAACTATCACCAATTTACGCCAAGAAATCACTAATTTAACTAATGCTTCTAAGCAGGA